GATTTGACCAACAAATTCAAATCACGTCGCCCGCCCACTTGGCAATGGGTTTATCTCACTGGTGGCCAACGAGTAATTCAGCTTATTGTTGAAGCTGATCTATTGAGCCAGTTTTCTAATGAATTTCTTTTTACCTGTCAAAAGAATTAAATATCTACACCGCCTAACGAGTTTGAAGGGGTATGATTATTGAGCGCATTGTTGTTGGTCTTCTGCATACGCCAATTCGAACATAGCAAAATTTTCTGCACTGATAACGGAGATTTTTGATAACCGTCACTCCAAAAATGCATTCACGGAAGTCATATTTTTCACACATAAAGTTTGGTATATCTTCTCGCTTGAGTTTGGTGGTAGGAAACGGTTAGACCTGAATAAATATTATTTTTTCACATTTATACAGTTTCTAGAGGGGTCGATTTCAATGTCAAATTCGTTTTACTAACGCGTAGCAGCTAGGATTTTAATTTAATCGGAAACTTTTCCCTGTCAGAAACAGGGATAAGTCAGCTACTTCGCCATTGGTCGCCAGTGGTAAAGGTGTGTGGTGTATTAGATGAAACTTGCAAATTCTGTTTGGCAGTTAACTTGGTGGATTCCATCCTAGAGAGACTGCCTCCAGTGCTCAAAATTGAAGAGGAGCAAATGGAACATCGACGAGATGAAAGTGTAATACCTGTATAAAGTCTATGAGTCATTTTAATAAATAAATGACAGTTAGGTTTTCTACTGTGACCTTGTTATCTTACAAAAGATGAATTTGCAAAAATCGTTGAAATCGCGAGATTATACAATTTAATGACATGTGGCTAATAGAAGCAGTGACACAAGTGGATATTATATCAGATATGTTGCATATGATGTGGGGCAATATCATATTCAATCCCGTGAATGAGGCTGGAAGAATAAAGCATTGAGAGGAACAAATGTAATGAAAATCACGATGTTGCACGAGTTTGGTCAATACCTGTAGAATAACTTTCTAATGCACTTTGTAGTTAACTCATATTTTTGACAGTTTTACGTCCCCCTTTTTCATCTCCTTTTTTACCACAATTGTAAAGGCGGTCTATTTTTGGCTGAAATTTTGTATATACCTCGCGAAAGCTTCAATACAATAAAATACAACACAGATAGTTGCCTAAAATGACACAAACCATTTGGCAGTAGAATTACCTATCCTGCAGAACCAAGTGTGAAATAAACTCGTGGTGAATTTTTTTCTTGACGAACGAATTCACCACACCACCTGACACACACACACAGTAGAAATGTTCAAACACATACTACAAACAGAAAAACCCACCATTTCCCCACAAACAGGCGAAATTCCGGTGAAGCCGAGCACTCTGCGGGTAGTGTGGGTGCCTCCTCTTCCATGATCTTCGTCATCAATGCGAACTCGGTTTTGGCGTCCTCATAGGGAAACGATCCGGTGGCCAATTCCAAAATTGAGACACCCAAAGACCAAACATCGGAACGCACATCGTAGTCCTGTTTTTTTAACCGCTCCGGTGACATGTACCGAATACAGCCGAGCGAGGCGGACCGAGTGATGGAATCTTGCAATTTACCACTGATTCCGAAATCGCACAATTTCACTTCACCCTGATAACCCAGCAACATGTTCGTTGGCTTCACGTCTAAACGAATCGGACAATTCGAAAACGTGATTCACCTACCTCGGTGTATCACATTGTACTTCTGTTTCAGATAATCTAAGGCCAAAACAATCTAAGAAAGGTGATCCAACTGGTTGAAATGAACTTACGGAGACCACGACTTTGCCAATCACATGTTCCGGAAACGGTTCCGACAAATCGCGTAACAACTGACCCAGACAAGTGGGCATTAGTTCCATGCATATCCAAAACTCTACCTACAATAATGCACGAGAAGAGTAAATGGTGCCCGCATTCAAAAAAAACGAAAACAAAACATTCTGAAGATAAATCGGAATACGCACCCCGGTGAATAGGATCCCGTAACAGTTCACAATGAATGGATACTGATTAATTTGTGTGACGACATTCAGATCGGAAAAAATCAGCTTATTCTCCTCTTCGCTATTGGAGGACAGATACATTACTTTCACTGCCATGACCAGTTCCCGTCGCTTTCGATGGCGCATTTTTCTCACTTCACTGCAATTCCCGTAAGCCAACACTTTCTCGCAATCGAAATCCTCTTTTCCCGCTTTGATTCGCTACAGGTGCGGAAATTGAAGAAAAAAATACACGAAACGGAGTGGACTAACCTCGTGACCGAAACGTAACAAGCCGTTACTGTCCTCGAACATTTTTCGAATAGCATCAAGATCACATCTACAAATACGACGTTTGATGAGTGTGGTGTGTGGGAACAGAAACCGACGCCTACCTTGCATCCGCAGCTGGTGATGAGCCAATGTAGGAGGGATAAATTGTGGACCGTGGACCGGACAGTTCGGCATGAGGTTTTTCCGCAAGCACTACATGTGTATGTGCATCAATCGGTCACAGTTGGATTACAATGCGTGAAACTCACGTTTTGTCGGGCGATTTGCGGGTTTTGAAGCACTAAAGCCTTTCTTATTCGCCTCCGACATTTCCACGGTCACTCCCTAGCTAAAACAAAAACAGAATTCAATCGTCTGATTAAACTAACTGAAACAAATGTAGTTACTACTAGTAACCGAATACAGAAAACATAAACAGATTAGTAAATTTAACAGATATGTTCAGGTTATCAGGAAGAGTATAAACAGAAGATGCATTTTGCAGCCCGTTACGAGTTTGCCTCTTGATTTGGGATACCCCTTTGATTTCATATCATCGTGATGAACAGTGAAAGGCTAAACTTCAGTCAGTCACGAGGGCCTTTGAATTCGGCCGCGTCATTTACCTCGAAAAATCATATTTACACTTTTGTGGATTTATTTGTTATCAAATCACATTGTTATCAATTTCAAGGACGCCAAATGCTATCCTACACGAGCACGTTCATGAAATCGTTGTGTTATCGCGCGAACTGCACCTTCTATGAAATATTCCAATAATGTGAGAAATAAATTCAAGCGGATGATCAAAACACAAAACGGCGGAAAGAGAAAGCATCGAGCAAGCTGGCAATTCGCTCTCAGACAGTGCAGCACTAGTCAAATGCAAATTTCTCTCATTTTAACAAGCAATGTTCGTTCTCTGTTAAAAAAACTCGAGGAGGTAGTAGACATCACAAAGAAAAAGGAGTACAAAAACATGGGAGTTATTATCCTTCAGGAATCGTGGCTACATGAAGAAATCCCCGATGAAATTTTACTGGTGGATGGATATAANGAAAGTTACGTAAGCGAAAACTGGAGTAAATCAACTGCTATCATTTACGAATACTCAACGGTTAAAATCAGTTGTCATGTCATCGAATGTAAGCCTCGTTTTTTTGAGTGGGTTTCAATCCATCCTTCTTGGAAACTTTTACCTGTCACCCACAATATCAGTAGCTGACATAAATAGCTTTTCTGACATTTTTTCTACCTCCATAATATCAAGAACAAGTGACTCTTTGTGTATATTTGTTGGTGATTTCAACAGACATGATGTAACCTTCCTCACCACACTGGGTCTACAAAATTTAGTACTTTTTCCTACCAAACCGAATTCACAG